GGTGAATACGCTAACATGCATGTACTTCAAGGATAAACACACTTCGCTAATAGCTTTGTCGTCACGGGTGCTTAACCTATTCGGCATTGACGGCCACTGGGCAGGCCGCTCGTCAAACGCCGCGGGTGCCACCGCGACGAATGCTTACATTGACGATGGCACGCTCCCTTTGGGCGAATATTCGCGCTGTCCTGCCGCCCACGTCCGTTCCGCTCACGCTCTGGCCGTGAGTTCACCGTGAAATCACAGTTCACGGCCGGGGTCTGACGAGCTGAGCACCGTGACGCCGTCCACGGGTCTGTCGATTTGGTCACGGGGTATTGGACGCGCCGGACAAAGCGAGAACGACGCTGGGAGGCCAGGGTTGGGACGGGGTGGGACACCAAAGTTGGCGACGAGCTGGGATGCCAGAGTTTGGGACGAGCTGGGGGGGGGGGGGGAGAGGCAGGGCTGAGGGACGAGATGCTACGCCAGGACTGGGAACGAATCAGTTTCGAACCCTGCTTCTCCCATGGATCTAGACTGTCTATGGGAGTCGCCCTATTCCCTGATCGGTCCATTATACCCGGTATATGAGTTACGCCCTGGATATATAGGTACACCCGGTATATAGGTCTCCCGGTATAGGTTACATTACACCCGATATATAGGTCTCTGCCTATGATGTATAGGTCTCTCTGTCTCTGTCTCTGTCAGACGAGTCTATTCTCTGATGTACAGTCGAACAGAGTGAATCTCACCAAACTGCATGGTCAGAGGCGCCTTGTTGCCGCGGATCAGGGCGCCTAGCCCAGAGGTGGCGTCTGCGTTAATGTGGTACAGGTTGCCGCCCCTTTCGGTCAAGTAGGGGAAGGAGTGTTCGAACTGTAGCTCCATGGTCGTTGTCATGCTGTAGAGTTCCTGCGGTGTGGGCTCGTGACCAGGGATGCGGAGCCGGAGCCGGAGCCGGAGCCGGAGCCGCCGGAGCCGGCATATTTTGCCCGGAGCCGGAGCCGGAGCCGGAGCCGTGAAACAATATAGCCCGGAGCCGGAGCCGGAGCCGGAGCCGTCAAAAAAGGGGGCGACTCCGGCTCCTTTTCTTAACCCTCGCCCGCACATGGGGGGGTGGTTGCCACCCCCCCCCCCAGGCAGTCTTTCTGCTCTGCACTCAACATTTTTAGAGCTAGAAGGCTGATTTTTCGTATAGCTGCTTGTCGATCCTTTCTTGATGTCCACTGAAAATTTCAAGTTTCTGTGATTTTTGGTTTCGGAGATATGACCTTGTTTTTCAGGTCATGTCATGACCCAAATGGCCAATTCTCAACATCTTGCGTTTGCCATGGGCCTTGTGAGCTTTTGACACCCTGATTTCGGCCTTTTTTGCCAGTCTTACCTCCCACCTATCATGGAACATGTTGTTCGACGATGTACAGGGGTCAAGGTCAGGGTCAAGGTCAACCTAGGTCATCTAAGATAATTGTGTTTTAGGCAAGCTGAATTTACTTTTTGTGAAGTTTTTTGACTGCATTTTTGGTAAAAGCTTCTCAGATCATGATTTCATGTGATATGGACCCAAAAACAATCGGTGCACACATCAGTATACACACAGACACACACAGACATACAAACACATATAATTGACCTTGACCTAACTTGACCTGAAATGACCTCAGCAGCAAAATTCTGGTCGGATAGTGTGACAAAGAGGTTCTAGCTGGCTTGGCACCAGAAAACAGCATCGTCATCGGTATTTGATAAGCAGCGCACTTGATATCCAACGGTGACCCAAAACAGCAACATTTTTTAGTTTGACCTGACCTGGAAGGTCAATGACTGACCTGAGAAGGTAAAACTGGGTATCATTGGATTCGTCTCTTCCCAAAGAATCTTTTTGGTCTTTACTGCTAAGCTCTATCTCCAACAGGAACGAAATGGCGCGGGGGGGGGGGTGGTTGCCACCCCCCCCCCATGTGCGTTCTAGGATGGGAAAATGGCATGTGCGGGCGAGGGTTAAGAGGAAACAATTATTTACCTAGTTCGGTTTGACAGTACAAGGCGTAAAACAACCTGGTATTCAAAATAGCCGTGTTATACAAATACAGAAGCAACGTGTACCAATCCCATCGCCTTTTTTCTTCCACCCGTATTTAATTGATCGCATAGGGGATGTACTGAGTAGAAAACGGAGCCGGAGCCGCCGGAGCCGGAGCCGCCGGAGCCGGATCATTTTACTCGGAGCCGGAGCCGGAGCCGGAGCCGCCATGACATTTCACCCGGAGCCGGAGCCGGAGCCGGAGCCGATTTTTTTCTCCGGAGCCGGAGCCGGAGCCGGAGCCGTCTGAAATTTCCACGGCTCCGCATCCCTGCTCGTGACTGATGAGGCTGAGGTGTTTCGGTGCTCTGAAGGTCATCGCCACTCTTTCGGTCACGTTTGCGCCGCCTGAAGAAGAAAAGTCAAAATTTAATTTCGCCAAAAGAAAGCAGGTACTGCCTAGCCGACATGAGTGGTTATTACTTACATAGGTACCTACCTCATTTATTTTCACACGCGGACGGTCTTCTCACCTCTGCCAGGGGTTTCTTTCGTTGTGAAGATCAAATAGACATCGTACTCTTGATTTTCAGACGAGTCGCGAATTGCGTCAGCCAACCTGCAATTGACAAATGTTTGAAAAGATGGTATCTATAATTAATGCACATCGGTGGCCACAGCAATATCAGCAGCTTGTTTTTGACACAGTGTACATAAATAGTTTTTGGGAAATTTCGTCATTCGATCGGCAAATCGAATGACGCAAAAGCCACGGTACCTGCCTGCTGGCCAAGAAACACCTTCAAAGTTGGCTACAACTACAAATTGAACAAGTGCATTTTTAACGGCACAATTTTCATAGGCACCTGTGTGACTCATATTCTTACTCAGGGTGAGACATCAGGCACATTTGAGCTTAACATACAGGACGAATACCCCCCCCCCCCCAACAAATATCACTCTCTCTAAAACATACGTAGGTCAGAAGGGTGCTCTCTTACCAGAGGATGGAGTACTGCTGGCGCACCATTGGCCTGCCTTCGTCGTCTGTCTTGATGCGCCTCAGCCTGTCCTCCCGAGTCCACTGGTAGCCGGACACGGAGTTGAGCAGCAGCGTGTACCCCCGTCAGAGCGGTTCCTGTAGCACTCTGTTATCACATCAGTTCCGTTGATGTGCGTCCAGTGCCTGGCGCTGGACAGGCGTCTGGCCATGTTGAACAGGTGGCGACAGGTGACGGTGAGCTCTGGTGTGCAGATGTGAGCCCGGCACAGGTCACCGGGCATGATACAGTCCGAGTTACGGAGGCAGAACTGGTCTGTCTGCGAGTGGCGCGGGAGAAAGAAGTGCAGCGGATGCTGGTTGCTCTGGTTACGTGTCAGCTGGCGGAGAGTCCCCACGGTGGAGTAGAGGATGCACTCGCTGCTCGCGGGGTCATAGGAGACGCTCTGGCAGGTGGGCCGATGGTGGCAGAGAGCGCAGCACGTGCAGGGGCTGATGCGGGTCGACAGGCCTCCGGTCAGCTGGTGAGGGCTGTACCTCTGTAGCTCCAGGGACGGATCGAGCACGCCGGCGTACAGATCAATATTCTGACAGCCCGTGATGAGGTGTGCCGAGGCGCATATAAACAGAGCTCCGAGAAAGAGAGGGGTACTGGGGACGCTCGGAAACATTTCAGCTGTCCTGGCAGACATTCTTTGTGGCGCTGAAAAGAAACGAATGACTTAATTAATCAAATTTGGGTTTTGTCCGGAAATCTTCCCAACAAATGATAGGTACAGGTCTCGCGAGATTAAGCGGTAGGTTTTGCACTTTTACATTTCCGGTTATATCTCAGAAACTAATCGATCTACGATGAAGCCATTTTACACGATCATGGCCGGCTTGTTACGCAACAAGTCGATCGCATCTTCAACACTTAAAAGCTTAAGACGACGAAGATATAGCCTGAAGTACACTAAATTTTCTAGGTGCAAAACCTACCGCTAAAACCCGCGAGACCTGTACCTACTGGTGAGAAATTTGTCACAACCTGCCACTGGATAATCTCAAATCTGATTTCGTCAAACTATGGATTAGAAAATCGTTACCCCGTTTCGTTGCGGTGACCTCTCGCACTTACCTGTTAGCTCCTTGGACGCCAGTGAGCTACTGCAGCGGTGACCAACCAGCAGTGATCGCCGATGGTCTAGTTGTTATGGGCCGACTATGGCAACCGCAGCGGACATCAGCGCACTGCCAATTTGTATTCACATGTACATACTTCCATTATCGTTTCAAGCTGGTCGTACCGATGGGCACAAGTATGAGCATGTTACGGTATTGCCCCATTGCCCATTTACATTATGCTCGTCGCTCATCACTGAGAGGGCGAAGAGCTCCTGAAAGAGGGTTGAACATAATGGACATTGAGCAGCTCTGGCACGGTATTCGAGCTGCGGAGTTATGTCCGCAGACTGCAGTTGCCGGAATGGCCTTGTTCTTATAATAAAGTGCTTTTATTCTTTGTAAGGGGACCCGCAGTTGCTACTGTACAGCGACCCTGAGTAAATTGTCCCAGTACCCTCACAGGGAACAACGATAAGCTGTCAGAGGGCACGCACAGAAAACCTCAGCTGCTCTTGTACAGGGACCGGCAGTCGATATCAATGTTATCGGTTGTTACTGGACAGGACAGACGGCTAGAGTTTGGGTTCGTGTACAGTAGCAAATGCGGGTGCCCGTACAGTTCAGGTGGCTCTTCCGTCAGACTATATGCAGTATGCTAACATAAAACATTAACCCTCGTCTTGGCAGGACATTTTTCTTAACGCGGCCTGGCAGGGGGAGGGGGGTCAATGCGACCCCACTGGCGTTTCGAAACGAGGCGTCGTAGCGCTTCGCAACAAAGACCAGTCGATTGTTCTTAACGTTTAAGTCGTGATTGGTGGTATAATTTTTACCCTATGGTCAATATTTGACCCAGTTATGGCAGGTAGACGCTCAAATTTATGGGAAAAGCTATAATTTCCAAATTACCTAGCCAATATTGGCGAATCTGTGAAAGATAGAGACATAAAACTTTCACGACCGTGTTTCTCAACGAATTAGCAGCAAAATGTTATATAGTTGACTGCATTTCAGTCATTACTGGCGTGGCTTATTCCCTGGGAACACGGGAGGTCACGCCCGCCGCCGGCGAGGACGGTCGCCGGCAGAAGTTCGGTCCAGGATATTGACCTGGGTTGACCTTGTAAAGGTCAAAAAACATTTTTGGAGGCGTTTAGGTGGAAATTGAACCACAGATTCGGGTTCAGGACCTCAAGAAACCTCACTAAGCACAGCTCATCACGGAAGTCAGCGTGTGACATGCGAGGTCATTGACCTTGGCTGACCTTAGAAAGGAAAGGTCAATAATGTCAATATGCAATGTAAAGATTCATGTCCAGTCGAATTCTGACATAAATTACGCGGAATAGTTTCGTTCTTGTCGATGAGATCACGTCCAGTTACGGTATGTACAATTTTGTTAAAAAGCTGTCAGAGGCTGTACCGATTATAACGTAGTACCTATTAGGGTGAAGTCGTATAAGAGTACGCACTTAGTGGATTTCTTGCTCTCATTTGTTTAATATTTGAAGGAAAGAAATCGCAAATAGGGAATATTAACGTTCATTGAATTAGCCATCAACCCATGGGCAACGATCCTTCAGCGTAAATGGAAGTGGTCTAAAACTGACATTTTCTGAACCGTTGCACTTGCGTACTCTTACCATATGGGGTGTGTAAGAGTACGCACGCCAGGCGGGTGGAGTACGCAAGCATATGAACACACACCTATGCAGCTTGCACTGTCCAAATGCTTAACTTCAAACTCAGAAGGCATTTAAGTTAATTCTAGTATCCAAAAAGAAAAACATAAAATACATCTTTCAAGTCTGTAAATCAGGAAATAATCATGTCGTGTGTTTCTTAAAATGCACGATCAAAAAGGAGAATAACTCGTATTTGGAAGAATTTCGGGTACGCATCTGCATCACAGTGCTCCATTGATGATATACCTACAAAACAAACGTCATTGAGCGTAAGATTAATAATTCTATATTTCTGTATATTCGATTTAATGTATAATTCTGCGTACTCTTACCCTCCTGAACAGTGCGTCCTCTTACCGTACATGCAATTCGCGCACAAAACAACCCCGAAACGTTGTGCAAAACTTCGCAAACAGAATATTGCACTGTACAGTATTTCCCCAGATAACCTCACAAGTTTCCTACAACAATCACGGAAATGTACCTTATCTCAACTGCCAAGTATCAAAATTATTGTACCATATCATAATAATATCATAACGCTCGAAAATAATATTCATCGCCTTAAACTCAACAGCGTCGCCGCTCAACGCCCACGTTCCGTTGGTGACATGCACGTACTGGCGGCTTCATGTCACTTCATGAACTCGACAAACCCGCGTTGCTAAGCAACCGAAACAGCTGATGCGTACTCTTATCGCCCGCGTACTCTTACCCGCCCTTACCCTATAGCTCGGTGACCTGACATGACCCGAAGTTTTTTTTTACAAAAAATTGCGCAGAGGATGCTCCAGAGGCTATTGAAAATGGTTAATGTTTAAGTTACAGCTAGCATTCATTTATAAAATATCTATAAGTAAATGTATATAACAGGGCTGCGGAGTCGATGGATTTTCGGCGACTCCGACTCCGACTCCGACTCCGGCTTTCAAAAACCAGCTCCGACTCCGACTCCGGGCAGAATTGTCGACTCCCACCGACTCTAACTCCCGACTCCGACTCCGCAGACCTAGCAGGGCTGCGGAGTCGACAGATTTTCGGTGACTCCGACTCCGACTCCGGATCGGGTTTCTAAAAGCGACTCCGACTCCGACTCCGACTCCGGTCACAACTGTCGACTCCGACCGACTCCAACTCCGACTCCGACTCCGACTCTGGTATATAACATCTATAAATATCTTATTTACTTATAGGATATCTTGCAAACGGAAGGCAATAGGTATGTTTACCAAGACATCAAATATCTGTTTCTAATCCAGGCCAGATCATGAAAACGCTTCCGTGAGCAGTTTGGGCACTACGCCAACTATAGAAGCCCCCACGAGTGGCCTACTGAACTGATTGCCTTGCCGTCCAAATTCGGACCCCATCTGTCCGGTATAGAGGCGCCGGCCCCATCCTGCCGGCACCGAATTTGGTGGTATTGATCGGGCACGAGGTCAGAAATCTCGTGACGCTCGCCACTGACATTGATTGGACTTCCGAACAGCCGGTGACGTCGACCGTGTATCAAATCGTTGGAAGGTATAGTGAAAATATGGGCTAGGACTTATGAGCTAGCCGAATAAGTATTCATTGCCTGCAATGATTGGAATACTGCCACTCGCGCTGGTTCAATATGAATTCATAAGTATTCTATACTTTCATTTTGGCTCCTTCAAAATTTATTCATTGAAGCCCAGAAAACGAGAGGATTTGCTGCATTAGCAGACATTATAAAACACGTAGGTAACACCTAATTTGACCTTTCAGTTGGTGCAAAAAGTAATAATACATTCAGATTATTTCTCCCCTATTAGCAAAGTTCAATGCTGATCAAGTCCACAATATCTTCCAAATTTGGCACATATTTCTATCTCGAACACTTTCCCTCTTATGCACACATTTTATCCGTTCGTCCGACCGTCCTCCGATCCGCCCATCTTTCCCTCCATTTGCCAGCCCTCCGTCCCTCCGACCCTCCTGTATCAGGCCCTCTTCCCTCTCTTACTCACCGCCAGCCCAGCTCTTCATTTTTCCACGACCATCGACCTACCGCCGTGTGGGCGAAAAGGTGACCGTGGGGAGGGGAGCGCAGACCTCACCCCCCCCCCCCCCAGCCACCATCACCGTCCCCAGCCCGACAAAACAGCGGTAACTTCTGCCACTCACGGTACGTTGACCTGCGACAACACGCATTGCAACATCCACAGAGATTGGTGGGTTCTCCGGCCCAACGCGCGACGCAGATGCATTGTTTTGTTTCAGCAGGGTGTGCGTAGGCGCTAGTGGCACCGATAGAGCTGCTAGTGAGCGTGTACGCTCATCTTGCAATAATCTTGCATA